ACATAAGCAGGGTAAAAAGGCAGGATTAAGCATGATACAACAGTTTAAATCTTGCAACTAACAGTTCTACACTGTTCTACGCAGTGGTTCTCAACCTGTGGGTCCCCAGATGTTTTGGCCTTCAACTCCCAGAAATCCTAACAGCTGGTAAACTGGCTGGGATTTCTAGGAGTTGTAGGCCAAAACACCTGGGGACCCACAGGTTGAGAACTACTGAACTACTGTGTTGTCAAAGGCTTTCATGACCGGAATCAGTGGGTTGCTGTAAGTTTTCTGGGCTATATGGCCAGGTTCCAGAACTACTCTTTGGGACTGCCTCAGTCAGTTACAAGTTGCAAAGATGGATATGTAGAGAAAATTGGAATTCTGGCATCCAAATAAGTTTGAGCTTCTCAAAAATGTTAATAGAAGACATATCAACATTGCACAGAGGTAGAGATTTGGATGCCTGAAAACACTGCATCGCTACTACTGTTTTTACAAAGATACATGAAACCGATTTTCTCAAGTGTTTTGTAACATAAGACAAGAGCCCCAGCTGGGTACTGATGCTGGCTTGGAATCATATGGCTAGAAGTCAGAAGAATGAGCCTTCATAAACCTAGAGAAAAGTACAAAGTCCACTTACGTCAGGTCTGCAGTAAATACTGTTCTGTAGAATTCCATCATCTCACCATAAATTTCAAGTGAACATTCCTGTGCAACAATAATTTAAAATTGTCGCCCAAGCTTCCCAAGACTGGGCATTCAATTGGTCTCACAGATGACAAATGACTTATATCATTTAAAGCTGTCAGCAAGCTGTTTCCTCAAAATGGAGACTGAGGACAAACAATATTATTTATACATATTCTCAGAGTAATGGCACATAGTGTTACATCAGGGATACAACTTGGAATGCGGTATGAACTGAAACCATAAATTATTTCCAATGAACTATTTCTACAGATCGTCCTTTCTTTGTTATGTTTCAGCTTTTAAAAAGAAGGAATCAAAGAATATATCATTCTTTTGAGTTTCCATTACAAGTTTGGTGGTGGTGGTGGTGGTGGTGGTGGGGGATCTGGAACCCTATAGTGTTTAAGTAGGAAACACAACATTAATTGTTCCAACAGCAGCACATAAATGACTTATTGCACTGTGGGAAGTGACAGGGCTATCTAGTTCACCTTCAGGGTCGATATGTGAGATGGCAATGTGCTGTGAGGTCACCAAACCTTCTTCCTTTCTTTCCTGGCAGGC